ACGCAGTGGTCAGTGTGTAGAGACTCGACCCCGGCCGACGGGTGAACGTAGCCAGGTGACGGCCGGTCCTGGAGCACGTGCAGATCGCCACACGCTGTCCGCCAGGGGTAAAGGTGTCAACCCACTGATCCTGGAGGACAGCGTTGCTCACCAGGTTCGTCGAGAACGAGGGGAGGTGGAAACCCGACAACGAGCCAGACGGAACCGCCGGACAAGGGAGGACAGTGGTGGACTGGGCAAGGACTGGGCCCCCAGAGGGGTCAGCCAAGGAGACTGGGACCGGTGCAGGAAGCGGTGTGAGCTCAGTACTGTCACGGAAGAAGCAACGGGAAGCACCTGAGTCAAGGGTGAAGGTGTGACAGGCCTCAGCCGGTGCGGTACCTGAGAGAGGTGTCTCTGTGGGTGCTGTACCTGAGAGAGCAGACTCGAAACCAGCCGGGACAGCACTGGGGGGAGCAAGTACAGGGGGCACCATACCAGAGAGAGCAGACTCACTAGTACCCAGGGCAGCGGGCTCTATACCTGGGTCAGGCGGCACACACAAGTAACAGTCTCCCTCGGCACTAACAGTCAATGCATACATGGCAGCAATAATAGCATCATAGTCAAGAGCAAAGACATCAACACCAGCCCTCATGAGCTCAGCCCAGCGGGGGCGCTCAACATCCGCACCCATCTCCTCACGCCAAGCGTCGTCAAGGCGGGAGAAGCAGCGGTACGGGGTGTGGAACCTCCCACACGTCTGTCCCTTGCGGTCACCTGTGCGAATGACATAAGAACAGCGGGCACTGGCCCCCGACGTCCCACGCTGAGCAAGCCACTCACGAAGCTGCTGGGTCGTCTGGGGACGCTGCTGCTGCTGGGAGCTCTGGCCCGAGCCAGTGCCTCCACTCCGACCTCCGCCGCCACCACTACCACCGCTCCGACCGGCACCGCCACCACCGCCACCACCGCCACCGCCGCCACCGCCGCCGCCGCCACTACTGCCACTGCTTCCTCCGCCGCCCCCGTCTCCACCACCGACCCCACTCCCACCAGCGCTCCCGCCACCGCTCCCTCCAGCACCGCCTCCCCCCCCACCTCCCCCACCTCCTCCCCCCCCAGTGCCACCACCACCACTTTTGCCCCCCTTGCCCTTGCCGGTGCGGCGCCTCCCACCAGGAGTAGAAGCAGCGCCAACAGACTCAGCACCAAGGAAGTCAACAGCAGCAGCAGCAGCGTAGGAGGGAGCGAGGGGAGAGGGAGAACACCCCTCAAAGATGGGGGTGCGAGGAGCGCCACGAGCAGCACCGACAGCTACAATGCTCTTTTCGGCCGCGAGCAGGTGCTCCTCTAGGAGGGCGACTGTGAGCTCAGTGGGACAGCGAGCAAGGAAGTGGTCTCGAACTGAGCGGAGGGTGTCAGGGAGACGGGTGACTATGAAGTGGAGTGTCCAGTACAGTGGAGGGGGGTTCTTAGCGCAGAACTCGGTGGGAAGGGCGGCACGCAGGCGAGCATCACTAGTGCGAAGGTGGGTGATAAGATCGGCGACTGTAGTAAAGGTGGACAGATCGGGGAACAGGTACGGCAGCATGAGGCGGCTAAGCTCGGCTGTGGCAGGCGAGGAGTAGCGAGCGACGACAGCGTCGTACAGGGCCTTAGCGGATTTGCAGTCGCCAAAATGCTCTAGCTCAGCTAACGGCAGGTGACTGCGAATGGCTAGGCGAGCAGCTGCGTCACGAGTCTGCCAGTGGGAACGAACACTAAGCTCAGCTGTGGCAGGAGGGGCAGGCGCAGCACCAGACGCGTAATCATAGAGCGACACATGCTCCTTGCTATCGCTCAGGAGGAACAGCTGCAGGTCATCTAGCCAAGCGGTGAACCGCACAGGGCGGCCCTCAGCATCGAACGACAGCACGCGGATGGAAGCCATAGCGACAGTGTGACAGAGTAACGCAAGCTGCCGCAGCAGGGGAAGGCGACTGTGCACGGATAGAGAGCAGCGGGCGAGGCTGGCGCTACGGGCAGGCGGCGCTGCAAGCGGTCAGCGCGACGGGAGGGCGACGCTGCGAGCGGGCAGCACGGCGGACGGGCCGGGAAGCGGGCAGCGCGGCGGGCAGGCGGCGCTGCAAGCGGGCAGCACGGCGGGCGGGCGACGCTGCGTGGCGGGCGGGCCGCGAAGCGGGCAGCGGGCGGGCGGGCGGGCTGCGAAGCGGGCAGCGGGGCGAGCGGGCTGCGATGCGGGCGGGCCGCGAAGTGGGCAGCTAGCGGGCGGGCGGGCTGCGAAGTGGGCGGGCCGCGAAGCGGGCAGCGGGGCGAGCGGGCTGCGAAGCGGGCGGGCCGCGAAGCGGGCAGCGAGCGAGCGGGCTGCGAAGCGGGCGGGCCGCGAAGCGGGCAGCGAGCGAGCGGGCTGCGAAGCGGGCGGGCCGCGAAGCGGGCAGCGAGCGGGCGGGCGGGCTGCGTAGCGAGCGGGCCGCGAAGCGGGCAGCGAGCGGGCGAGCGGGCTGCGAGCGGGCGGCTCGGCGAGGGGCGCGCGAGGGCGCTAGTGAAGGGGCGCGCGAGGGCGCTAGCAAGGGGCGCGCGAGGGCGCTAACGAAGGGGCGCGCGAGGGCGCTAACGAGGGTGCGCGCGAGGGCGCTAACGAGGGGCGCGCGAGGGCGCTAACGAGGGCGCACGAGGGCGCTACGAGGCTAGGGCACGGGGTAGCGTGGTAACCGCAGCGAGCGGTGGTGGGCCCTTAAAAAAAAAAACGGTCGGTAGGTCCTAGGGACCTCCTGCTCTGAATACCATCTCAGAAGAACTAGGCAAGAATGATGAACTAGCAGAAGTTTGGGTACAAATATGAAACCCTAGTTGGGGTTGTACCCCATATTGGCTACCCCACTACAGCCTACAAGCATAATACAGTTTAACACTCTAGTGTCTGTTACTTGCCCTACCAAACATCTTCATTTCCCATGCCTGCAGGCACAGAGAACAGGGGAAAGGGTGATGTCTCGCGAGAGTTGGCGGCTCTTGGTGCCTCATAACCGACGTGAGGCATCGTACGTTGTGCCCTTGACCCCTGATGCTGGCCGAGATTTGGAGTTCATCTCGGCGTTATCTGCGGACTTATCGTTCTTGCGCACCCTCAACAACGCCCCTGATTGTGGGGGGCGTACAATCGACACCATACATTTAAGATTGTCCCATTCCATGCTTTCACCAAGCTCTAGACCTGGATACATGAGTTGCCTATGATTTGTTATGCAACATCTTACCACCATGGCACATGCCCCATCATACATCGTCAAGGAAAGCACTAATATCCCTCCATAATGCCTTTCCCACCCCTACCTTCACCTCACAGGTCCACAATGGGTTAGCCATGCCAGCTGCCATTGATGCATCATTCAGTCGCCTACCACAGTTCGTCAGAGCAGCACCGATGTTCTACGGCCGGCCATGGTTCTCCAACATCGCGGTCGTGGGGGAGGATGAATCGGGTACCTCGGAGTGGTACACCAAGGTGTTGATCTTGTTTCAGGTCCGGATCGGGCGGGTGCTGAAGCCATATGCTTTCATCAAATACTACGATGAAAGTAGAGCAGCAGACACCCCACCCGTTGCAAGACACTCAATTGGGCACCATCCAATGAGCGCTATAGCGTGATTGCGGTTACTAGTATCTTGCGTGCTGTAGAGCTGATCCGCACTGCTCCGACCGAGGATTGTTGGCTTGTAAACAAATATATGTTCTGAAACGACGTCAAGTTACCCCTATCGCTATTGCTTCAAGCCTTAAACCATTGGTTGCTAGGCTGTAATTTTGGCAAAATCTTAGAGCATTGTTTATGCAAAGTGATCCTATAACATGATGTTGACCTGTGTAGTTCAATGTACTGATTCATCTCGCGATATACCCCCATGGTCGACGTGTTGCAGCATCCCCAACCGAATTGGGTGGATCCCGAAGCGGCACATTACGGGGAACAGTGACGCTGCCACCCAAGAGGTTATTCTGCATTGTGACTGTGGCGCACACGTCTGATTTACATCATCTCCCAACCGGCAGAAATACTGTAGGTGGTCGGCCCGTGCAGTCGCACTTGTCAACTAAACACCCCTGCAGCGAAAGCCGAGGTTCACTTCATTCTAAATTCCTCGAAGCCAGGGGCAGAAACTTTTCACACCGCACGATTTTGTCACAGGAACGGTGGCAGTGCGCGACTGGCAAACGCGATGCGTAATCACCCCCCAGCGCGACGCACGACCACAACGCTTACGTTCCTGAAAAATGCACATTACCAACCAATCCAATGCCTCCCATATCTGCCAGCTGGAATCTCACGTGAATGTGAGAGACACTCCTACAGCATGAAGGTGGAATCGCACATGAATGCTGGAATCGCACATGTATGTGGAATCGCAGAAAAATGTGCGAGCAATCACAGCATGCGGTGTCTACCCGCCAAAGTGTATTGCAACCCGAAACATGCAAAGATGCGCCCCCCATCCTCTGAACTACACTCCCGCATAGGCCTCGCACTTAACTACGGCCCGTAACAAAAGGGTGTTTGGGGCTCCTCCTTATTTCTATTTGTGCCAAAACATCCAAAATGATCGGTCATCAAGAACATAATACAGTACCCCTATAAATGTCGGGGAAAACGCGCGTCATGTAACTGTATTTCACTTGTCATTGGATTCACAAAAAAAGGTGGTCGCGCCAGACTTTCGACCGCAGCTAAGCTGTCATATATCACCATTTCCACATCGCCTGCGACAAGTGTAAGTCGCAGACCTGCATCATGTCAGGGGCACAGGGAACTCCTTGTGGCAGGAAGCGAGCCCACGCGCCAGAAAACGGTGACGACGTTGTCACGCTGGATGCTACTGGTGTACCACTAGACGACTCTGCGACAGGTGGCGACAACGGCAATGTGCTCGAGAGGATCCAGTCGTTCATGACATTCATAGACCTTATGAAAGCGAATGGGATGCTTCCCCAGGAGCTGCGAAAGAAGCCGAAAAAGGGTAGCATGGCAGCTCTCGCACAAAACACAGCACCAGCGACATCTGTTCCTGCTGTGGCTGGTATGGGGACAAGTCTAAACCCTCAGGAGGCGCCTAACAGCGGGGATGTACCAGACGCACCTCTGGATCTCACAGAGGCCCTCGTGGATGTAGCTGAGGGTACAATCACCGCTGCTGAGCCTGTCAACGCCCAGCCACCTCTCGTTGTTTCTCGCGCACGTACAGATACGTCTGTTGTTTCTTCTGATAATCGTTTTTTTGTTTTTTTTTTTTTTTTTTTTTCTGCAAATCTTTCGCTTGTTCCTAAACCCACCATTATGCTTATTCGTTACTTTAACAAAAAGTTTGCATCGTTTCTTGTGTGTTTTTTCAAAATCAGTCACTCCATCTGCAGGGTCCCATGAAATCGTACGGCTCTGTTCTGAAGTGGAAGACCTCCAGAACTCATTGAAGGTAACGCAGGAGCGCGCCCTCGACTTGCAGATCGCGCTGGACAATAAGGAGGCGGCGTACGCCAGCATTTCCCTGCGTTTCCAAGAGCAGGATGCTTTGATCCAGGCCCCCCGCCAACAAATTGCGAACACCACCAACTCGAATGGCGTTGTTGTCAACACCGCCATTCTGCCCACGTACGACCTGCAGTTGTTGCCAAAGGACCAAAACAATGTCGTCATCGTCCCGGCAATGCTAGACCAGTACCACCTGTTTGGGGTACGTGTGTCTAAACAGAAATGCGAGTGCTTACAATTGTTGATTCCCCAACTGACCGCCATGATTCCGCGTGGACTTACAATTTCGTTTAGTAATTACCCTTTCCAATTCCTGTTTCCTCAACTGACCGCCATGATTGTCTTGATCCCCAATCCCGAAACGTCTTCTGTCGTTTAAGAAAAAGGCACTGGAGGCCTTCACCTACATGACAACAACAGCACCGGCGTGGAGGATTCTCTTCTATCCGTCGTGGCCCGAACTGCGGGAGATGATGGCGGAGAAGTACGCTGAAGCTGGAGTCACGAGGGATACGTAACTTTCCTGCAAAGAGAACATCGCCATGCGAAAGGTGTCAGAAAAGCGAAGCAACTACAACTCTGACATCAAGACGTATGGTCGCGGTCCGAGCGGATGTGTCACCGAGAGCAAGGGGAAGGAACTCGCGGACGATGGCGTGGCTCCCACAATCACCAGGACTCCGGCCGAGTGGACGCTCTTCTTTCAGCATGGTAAGCCATTATTTAGTGTCCACGTTCGTGGTCTTGCTGATTTTCCTGGCATGTTGATGCAGATTGTAAGTTGTCTATAACAACATGGTGTCTAATTGCTTTGTTTACTTACGTGATAGTGTTGATTGTTCTTTACAGTGCGCTTTGGCTCAAAGTGGCACATCTGCATACTGACTTCGCGGCCCTTCGCCAACCGATCGTTTGAACTCGTCTTGCTGCGCGGTTTTTGCAGCAAGAAGGCGACGACCATCATGGTGAAAATCCCGCTTGTGGGGTATTCCTGCAACGTGGTAAGTGACAATGCTTTCGTTGCAGATTTTGAACATTGAAACCCGAAAACCGTACTATTATTCTCTTATTTTGCAGGTGGAATGGCCCTTGGCAAATGCCAGGGGCCGTGCCAACCCCACTCTTGACACATTAGAAACGGTCAGCCAGCAGAAGGTGGAGCTGAAAATCACCCACGTGGTGAGTTGGATCAAGGAGACCTATGACAATGGAGACCACGCCATTTGGGACCCCGTGGCTCCTGCTGGCTTCCGTATGTCTCCTAATGTCAAGATATTGATCGAGGGATATGAATCCCACATCTTCCCCAATGGATTAGCCTAGGTAGTGTTGTAGTGTGTGCATTGAGCACAGTGAATTAATGCTGCCATGCTTTGTAGTAGCCTAACTGTACTGGAAACCTGTTAGTGTTTCACAACTGTCCTGATAGTGCCAAGCAGAAAAAAAGTGAACATTGTTGATCTGAATGTGATAAATGCATGAAACACGAATGGACTTACTGTATACAAACATGCAGTATCTGACGAGTGTAGATATCTAAAGTATTGACAATGTTTCAAACATAATATTAACGAGAAAAAACAATTTGAAAAAAAAATGAACAAAGGATTCATGTCGTGTTTTGTCCTCGTCATGTGAGATAATTGACGATCCGTACAGTGTCCCGCGTCACTATACTGATCGGTTACTTCGATTGTGGCGTTCGCTACTTACTAACGAAATCTCGTAACCAGATCGCCACCACGAAATCGAATTGGCAGAGACATTTGGATTAGGCCAATGAATCACCATAGCCTGATATCGTCGGCCAGACCAATATCCACGTGTAGCCAGACGCGGCGTTGCACTTTGATTTCCACGCGTTTCTAGGATTGCCTGCAAATAGCAACACGGCTGCAACTGAACGGGTACGATCACACGCAGTCACTACTGTGATTAGTGGAAGTAGACCAACGTCGACGATCCACAGCACTTCCGATCTGGGACCTGATTCGTAAAAAACCATCTACAATCTACGACACACCTGGTAAGCAGATGGAATCACACTGTTTCCAACCAACCCCACACCAAATTAGAGAAAAACAGTCCCCGCACTCCCAGCGCCGGGGCCTCCAACTCCAGGGGCGACAGCACCAGTTCCAGGGCCTCCAGCCCCTGTACCTCCAGTAGTAGCACCCCAGGAACCGGCACCTCCAGCTCCGGGGTCACCAACTCCATTGTCGACAGCCCCAGGGCCTCCAGCTCCAGGGCCTCCAGCTCCAGCAGCACCACTCTGAAAACGGTAGCGCTGAGCGTACCACTCGCGCAGCTGCTGAGGTGAGAGAGCGCCTCCAGTACCGCCAGTACGAGCACCCCCGGGACTAGCAGCGCCAGCACCACCATCACCACCTGGCAGCACCGTCAGCTTCGACAGCTCCAGTACCTCCAGGACGAGCACCTCCAGGACTAACAGCTCCAGCTCCTCCAGAACCACCAGCACCACCAGCACCTCCAGCGCTAGCAGCTCCAGGGCCTCCAGCTCCAGTAGCACCACCAGTCCTGGCAGCTCCAGTACCTCCAGTACGAGCACCTCCAGAACCAGAAACACCAGCACTCCCAGCGCCTCCACGACGAGCAGCACCAGCAGCTCCAACCGCAGCACCTCGAGCAGCCGTACCTCCAGCAGCAGGACCTCCAGCTCCAGCAACACGACTCCTCAGGCGGGTACGCCACGCAAGCCACTCTCGTAGCTGCTGTGGTGAGAGAGGTCCCCGCCGGGAAACGAGACCCGGAGGAACGCCAGCTGACTCAGCACCCCCCGACCCGGCACCCTCCAGCTCAGCACCCTCAGGCTCCGCACTCGTAGGCTCAGCACCCCCAGGCTCCACACCCCCCAGCACCTCACGCACAGGCTCAGCACTCCCAGACGCATTTCCCCGAGTAGCACCACCCCCAAAAGCACCAGAGTCAACAGTAACCGACTGCAGAGGCGGCGAAGACAATCGCGGCGGGAAACCCGGAGGGGTCTCCAAGCGTGGTGTGCGGCGGTAGGCTGTCGGGGCGTCAGCAGCAACGTCACCCCCCTCAGCTGGGCCAGAGGTGTCGGAAGTGACCTCCAAAGGCTCAGCCAAGGGGAGTGGGTCTACCTGAGACACACCTGAAGGAGCAGGACCCTGAGGGGGGAGGGGGTCTACCGGAGGGGGACCTGGAGCGAGGAAAAGCGGCGGGGGAGGGAGAGGGGCAGTGCGGTAGGGGAAGAGACGGTAGAAAGGAACCGACTCGTCAAAGGTGACGTCCTGAGAGGGGAAGACACGGCGCGAGGTGGGGTGGTAAAACTGCCAGCCAGGCGCGTCAGGGACAAAGCCAAGAAAGACACAGGGAATGGTGCAGGAGGAGAGCTTGTCCGGTGACGTATCGCGGACAAGGGCACGAGCACCCCAGACCCGGAACCGCGACGCATCGCCAACCTCTCCCGTCCAACGCAGTGTGGGCGAGGTCTCCGGCAAGAAGACACGGGGCCAGCGGTTGAGCTGCTCCGCGGCGTACCAAACTGCAAACGGCCACAGAAAATGGGGAGCCGCCGCATGGATCAAGGAGGTACGCCCGATCTCCATGACCAAGCCAATGCGGCGCTCAGCAACCCCATTTTGCTGCGGTGAGCCCGGAAGCGTGAACGACTGCTCGATGCCCTCCCCCTGACAGAAGGCCCGCAAGAGGTCGGAGGTGAACTCACCACATCTGTTAGGGTGCAGACGCGTGACAGGAAGGTCCGTACAGAACCTGCGGCGGAGCTGGAGACGAACTGCTCGGATCCAAGGGATCAGGACAGCAGGGACTTCACCCTTGGTGCGCAAGGGGAAGACCGTGGTGTAACGCGAGTAGTCGTCGACAACCAGCAGAAAGTACCGCTCACCGCCCTGTCCACGAACGCGGGCTGGGCCCCACACGTCCAGGTGGAGGGTCTGCAGGGGAGCCTCTATCGGGGGAAACGAGGAGGAGTGAGGAGCGGCGCGCTGCCGTCCCTCGACACAAGGAAGGCAGGGCGGGGCAGGCGAGGCAGGAAGGGGAGGCAGAGACCTGGGAAGACCAGACACTAGGAGGTCACGGTGCATGCCACGGAGACGCTGCAAGGAGGGGTGACCAAGGCGGTGGTGCCAGAGAAGAGTCTGGTGCGACAAGGAGCGACACTCACAAGGGGAGGCTACCAGACCTGACGCAGACACCTGACCGACAGCAGCTACCTGAGGAGGCACAATCGTCAGTGTGTAAAGACTCGACCCTGGAAGACGGGTGAACGTGGCCAGGTGACGTTCAGTCCTGGAGCACGTACAGATCGCCACACGCTGTCCTCCAGGGGTAAAGGTGTCAACCCACTGGTCCTGGAGAGCTGTGTTACTCACCAAGTTCGTAGAGAACGAGGAGAGGTGAAGTCCTGACAGCGAACCAGACGGAACCGCCGGGCACGGAAGCACAGTGGTGGACCGTGCAAGGACTGGGCCCCCTGAGGGGTCAGTCAGAGACACTGCAGTAAGAGCAGCAGAGCGGCTCGGTGAGGCTAGGCTGCAGCACCTCCAGCACTCCTAGCAGCACCTCCACCAGCAGCAGCAGTAGCACGAGCAGCAGGGCGGATCGGGTAGGTCAGGGTTCGCGGCTCGGGCTGGGCGGCGCGGCTCGGGCTGGGCGGTGCGGCTCGATTTGGGCGGCGCGAGCAGCAGGGCGCGCTTCGTGCAGGGCAGCAGGGCGCGACGCGCGGACTGCAGTAGGGCGCGACGTGCGGGCTGCAGTAGGACGCGTCACGCAGGGCAGCAGGGCGCGACGCGCGGGGCAGCAGGGCGCGACGCGCGGGCTGCAGCAGGGCACGACATGCGGGGCAGTAGGGCGCGACGCGCGGGCTGCAGCAGGGCGCGACGCGCGGGGCAGCAGGGCGCGACGCGCGGGCTGCCGTAGGGCGCGTCGCGCAGGGCAGCAAGGCACGACGCATGAGGCAGCAGGGCACGACGCACGGGCTGCAGCAGGGCGTGACGCGCCGGGCAGCAGGGCGCGACGCGCTGGCTGCCGTAGGGCGCGTCGCGCAGGGCAGCATGGTAGGCCGTGCGCGGGGCAGCGCGACGCCAGGGTAGGGCAGGGCGTGCGCGGGGCAGCGCGACGCAGGGTAGTGGGGTAACACAGTAACCGCAGTCGGCTAAGTATGGTGGGCCCGAAAAAGAAAGAAAGAAAGAAAGAAAGAAAGAAAGAAAGAAAGAAAGAAAGAAAAAAAAAAAAAAAAAAAAAAAAAAAAAAAAAAAAACCGGTCCTACGGACCTACTGCTCTGAAACCATGTCAGAATACCAAGCAGGGTTGAGAGCATTGAATGAAATGTGGGTACAAGTACTAACCCTAACTTTGGGTTGTAGCCTATATGGGCTACCCCACTATAGCCTACACAAAACTAGCACAGATGTAAATTGACAAAAACATGTTTCGATTTGGAAAGATCATTTGAAATCAACATGGAAACACCCCTACAAGGGAACGGGGGGGGGGGGGGGGGGGGGGGGG